AGAATGGCCTGTTGCCATAGCAACAGGAGGCAATGGGGCAGTGAACAGAATAACAACAGCAACAATGCCCTTGCAGGCAGCCTCCTCCCCTGAGCGCCTGGCTGGCAATGGTCTTTGGACTCTGTGAGACAGAGAGCCAATCTCACATTCAAGTGTTCACCAACCACTGACGTGTTTTTATTTCCTTCTATATGATTTTAAGATGTGTTTTCTGCATTCTGTATAGAAACATATCGAACTAAATAAAAGCAGTGTCTTTATTACAATGCCGTTGCCTCCAAGCATCTATTTCCCTGGCCCCTACACCACTTGAGTGTAGGGTGGGACTGGAGTCCATGTGACAGAGGGAAAGAGGGGGCCCAGCTAGGCCCACTCAGAGGTGGCCTTTGAGCAGCTGTTCGGATAGCCTTCACATCCTTACCATTTCTGTGCCTCTGAGAGGGGTGGTGGTTGGCACCAGAAGTTCTGGCAACCAGTGAACCGTTCCTAGCACCTCCTCTGCCTAAAACAGTTGAGACATAGCTTGTGCGTCAGTTTCCTCATCTGTAGTTGGGGGTGGGAGGAAGAATAGGCAGGAAAACCCAGTGAGACTGGGTTGGAGGGGAGGATGGTGCAAGAGGTCTTACTGGAGGAGGTGTGCCCCAGAGTGGGTCCCAGGCAGGGGTCCCTCAGGCTGGGCCCCTTGCCTACCACCTTGTGGGGTTGAGGCTGGCCAAACCTCCCAGGGAGTCTCCAGGCAGTTTGGCCTTGGCCTTGGAGTGGGGAGAAGGGAAGGGTGGTTTTCAGGCTGTTTTGCCCTCTTTGGGCCTATGGTTATAGTTTCTGGGGACCTGCCCCTCATAAGTGCCCTGCCGGGGATAGACAGGCCAGCTGGGTAGGCTTAGTATGACTTAATGCCCAGGAAGGGTCGGGTTGTCCGAGGACACTGCTCAGGGTGTGGGAGGAAGGGGATACAGCAGCTGTGTCTTCAGAGGCAGGATCAGGGGCCATTGGTCACGGAACAACTGGTGCCTCTTCTGGGCTCACTCCCACCGCCACAGGGCCCTCACCACCTACAGCCCCCAGGCTGCTGCTCTGCTTACAACCTTCAAGATCCAGTGCTGAGACTGGTCCTATGTTGCAGCTAGAACTCAGTCCCAGAGCAGGGAGTTGAGGGTCAGACAACTACTTGTAGGAGGAAAGTGGAAGTGTTAGTTGCTCAGTCATGTCCGATTCTTTGTGACCCTACGGAATGTAGCCCGCCAGGCTCCTCCGTCCATGGAACTGTCCAGGCAAGAATACTGCAGTGGGTTGCCATCTCCTTCTCCAGGGGATCTTCCCAACTCAGGGACTGAACTCGGGTCTCTTGCACTGCAGGCAGATTCTTTACCTTCTGAGCCACCAGTGCCTCATACTAAATACAACACTGATAAATTCCAGGAAAAGCTGTCCCCGGGAAAGAGTTCAGAGACACATACACCTCACCCCAGGACCCAGCAGCAGGGGCCTAGGAAGTGACCCTGCCCTTTGCTCTCTTGGCCTCAGGAAGTTCTGCTTAATGTTTAACCTAAAGCCAGTGGGTTGAGTGGACTCACTCTCTTGAACTCGAAGAAAGGGATTTCCGGTTTCAGCCAAGAACAGTAAGATCAGGGGGGTGGGCGCCAGAAAAGCCACAAGTTTCTCCCGCCTCTGCCCTGCCTTTCTCTCCTTTAGAGATGTCTGATCTTGGCCTGGTGGGCCCCTACCCACCGCATTCTTGCCAGATCTCTGTGGCTTCACCTTGGTGGGGACAGGGACCATCTACTCATGTTTTTTTTCAAGCTAGAGTGGGTGGTGTAGGGCAGAGGCAGGGAAAAAAAGGATACAGTAGGGGAGAGGGAGCTGTCTGACCTACAGAAAGCTGCCTTCCCCTCTGCCTCTGACCCAGGGCAAGTTCCCAGGATCCTCGGGCCTGGCTTCCCCATCTGTGAGACAGGACGGTGTTGGTCTCCAAGGGATTCTGAGAAGTCCTGGGAACCGTGGGGTGGAGTCGGGATAACAAGTCACCCCGGTGCATCTGTCTCTAGAAAGGGCAGGGAATCCAAGCAAGGCTAGAAGACTCTTCCATCTCTCCTGGTGTAAAGGCACTGCCTCAGGCCAGGCCTGGGTCCTGGCATTGGCTGCAGAATACTAGCGTGTCTAAGAGTTCCTGGCCAGCCTCGTCTAGAACATCACCACTCTGGTGAGGACTGGAGGCTCCCTGTGACTCACCTTGTTCCCTGCAGGCAGAAAAGTCTCCTACAAGAGACACTTCCCTGGCTCCTCTAACGCATGGAAGGCCCCACTCAGGCCCCACTCACCTTTCAAAGGTGCGCTTCACTCCTCTCTATTACTGTATCTTAAAAATACAGATGGCTAAAGTTTTTAAGCTAACACTTCCTGCTGTTTCCCTCCTCAATCCACCATCTTGAGGGCAAGGGTCCAGGTACCGTGGCCAGTGCAAAACAGATTCAATTCTAAGTAGGTTTTTTTTTTTTTTTTCCCCAGATTGTAAAATTTTGTTCCTATGGTAGAGCAGCAACAAATTATTTGAAGCCCCCTCCCCTCACCCCAGGAGATAGGGGCACCCTCTTCTTTGTGAGGATGTTAGCAGACCCAGAGAAGGTAGGGCAAGAGATTCAAAGTGAGGGTTCCCATCTGCTGGGAGTGGGGTGCTCCTGCACCTGCAGGCACCATGGAGACCTGGCCTCTGGGGCCCTTTCTAGCCCCTCTGCCCTCAGTTTCGGTGGTGGTGACCCTAAGATCACAGCTGAGATGGGGCGAAGTTGGTCTGTTTCTGTCCCTGTGAAGACTCCGTGTGTCCAGGAGGTGCCCCTGGCTGGTTTCTGGGCGGTCGGAGGGGCAGCTCTCAACCTTGGTAGTGATTTAGGTGTGTCCGTTGTGAGCCCTGCAGAGAGCCAACTGCCAGGCCCTCTGGGCCAAAGAGGAGGGACAGTGTCCACTGGCTCCCAGGAGGTGGCGCCATAGGCCGGAGTAAGCCTGACAGCAATGGGCAAGTCAGACCGTGGGCGGGGTTAAGTCACAGCTGGTTGGAGGGTAGTCTGGGAGCTGGGAGAGGCTGGCTGTGGGAGGGTGGAACCCCGCCTAGGGCAGGTTTGGAATTTGCCAAAAGGGCTGGGAATTGAGGCTGGGTCAGTCAGCTCCTTTTCCAGGGATCACACCCTATTTCCCTCCACACCTCTGTTGCACAAGGTCAGGGGAAAGGTGAAGAAAGGGGCTGGTTCCAGCCCACAAGGGCAGGGGTGGGGAGGTCCTGTGGGCGGTGGCAGCAGCTTGTCCCTGGGTGTGCCTGGGGGAGAGGACCAGCTTAGTTCTGAATGCACCGCCCTCAGGGAACACGTGCCTGGGCTTGGGGGATGTGGAAGTGGCTGGAGTCCTCCTCTTGTTTGAGGAGCACAAGGTGTACATGTGTGTAGTGGGGAGGCCAGCTCTGCGTCCCTGTGTCCACTACAGCGACTAGAGTGCAAATGAGAGATGGAGGAGCATCCACTATGACCCCAGTGGTTCTGACTCAGCAGCCACTGTGCCTCCCGAGGCCAGCCCTGGGTCCCAGGCCTCTCCCCAGAGAGACCCTGGGCCAGGTAGGGCTAGGAGAGGGACACAGCTACCCCGTGAGCCCCAGGAAGATCTCTGGAGCAGATCCGGGGATGAGGGGGAGGGCTTGGTTGAAATGAGCAAAGACTGGGGGAGGGAAGGCTCAGTGGCAAGTGGAGGCTGTCCCCTCTTCAGCCTTCCTAGGATTCCTCAGTCTGCTATTAGCTTCTGGTCAGAAAGGGTATCACCTGGGAGAGCTGATGCCCATGCCGGCTCTGCCAACTGGGGGAGTTATCAGTACGTAACTCGCGGTGGTAACCCAGATGCTTCTGTACAACTGACACCTGCTGCTACCCACCCCAAAATCTGGGGAGACCTCTGTGTGACTTCAGCCCTCGCCTGGTCGAGTCTGCTTTGCCCACACACAGGGCTACAGGGGATGCCTGCAGTCCCTTCATGGAGGGTCAGCAGTCAGGGCCTCCAGAATCAGGACCTGGTTTGAGCAGCAGCAAGCAAAGGCCGGACTTGGAGACTGCAGCTTCAGTGAGGGTAGTGTGGGCTCAACGGTCTTAGTTTCTGTTGCATCCCTGGGGCCTAGCGTGATGCTGTCTTTGTCCTAGGGCTCAAAAGTGCCAAATTGAACTGAAATTTAAGTTTAACTACATTGAATTGAGTGAAATTGAAATCATCCATCCCGGAAGAGGCCTAAGGGACTGTGGACCTTTCTACTTGTCAAAAGGGTTTTGTTTCACTGACCTGTGCTATTCTGTCTATTTTTCCTGGAAGGCAGGAACTGTTCCAGTGACTCCTGGAAGCTTCCTGGACAAACCAACCCTATGTTAATCCACTCTGACCAGGAAAAGACAAAGCTCAGTGCAGAGCATAGCTATGCCCCATGAAATCCCTGGTGGTAAAGGGTAATTCTCAGTAATGGGCTTGGATTTGCAGTAGGAGAGCCACAGAGTCTCACGAGGTAGGGTTCCCTTTAAAAGACTTCCCTGAAGACTGTGGAGCTGAGTCTGATGAAGGGGCTGAGCTAACTGTCCCTTTCCCGTGACCTGTCCAAATCATGTCTGAACCTCTGTTGCCTGGAGTAGGACACATGGGCTTGTCATGAGAGGGCATACAGACATGACTTGCCACCTGGGTCTGTTCCCCACCCCTTACCTCCGCATCTGTGGGACAGAGGTAGGTGGAGGCAATTCCATGGAAACTAGAATTCTAGTGGGAAGGATTGCAATGGGGATTGAGATAGTATTTTCTATAGTTTACAGGAAACCGTTTATATGCTTGTCTCTCCCATTCTGCAAACTGAACTCCTTAAGGGAAGGTCCCTTAGTCGTCACTGGGCCTGGTACTGAGTAAATACTGGCTTGGCACTGGCTGAAGGAGGATGAGTATGCGGGTATGCATGAATGAGATGCACAAAGCCAGCCTGGAGGCTTGTCTGAGGGAAGGCAGAGGGACAAGGAAAAGCAGTGTATTTTGACTTGGGCACTTACAACTTGGAGAAAGCATGTCTTCATTATTTTTTTCTTGTCACAACAAGCCTTTGGAAGCACATAACTCTAATAGCAATGGGGCTTAATGAGCTTTCTTGAGAGCACTGCATGGGCGGTGGGGCTAGGTTGGTGATAAACATTTCTGATGATTTTTTTTCCCCCTGGTTCTTTTCACAGAATGCAAGTAAAGATTCGCACAGTGCAACAGGAAAGGAATTAGGCAGATGAGGCCTCCAGCAAGTTCTATACCTTTCAGTTTTGCTCCCTTTTCCTACTCTACCAAATGCATGGCTCATCTGAAGAAACTAGTACACAAACAAAAGTGTCCTGGCCAGTCCAGATGGGCTGCTGAGCAGGACACAGATCGATCGGGTTTCTTATTTGTAGCCAGCCTCATACCAGCCTGCGGCTTGCTAGGGGAGCTGCCTTATTGCTCGTGTTAGTGGGTGGTGCTGACAAACCTCAGCCAGGAGGGAAACCTGTTTCGTCGCGCTTCCTTCCTTCCTTCCTCTTCAGTTCTGTTTTTCCATCCCAGTGGAGGAATGCAGACAGGGATCCAGTTTCCTGAGTGGCTTCTCCCTGGGAGGTGAGACAGGCCTCAGCAGCACTACAACAAAACAGAAGAGCAGAGAGGTCAGGAGACCCCGGAAGCTGGATCTCCCAGTCTTTCTCTCTGGAACAGTCCACAGCCCGTGGCACCATGCCATCCAGAACTGTCCTCAGCCATCCATCGCATTCCCTCCCACCTCCATGCTCTCTGCCTCCCCTTCTTGCTGGTAAGGTTTGGCATTCTTTGTTACCCCCATCGGCATCTTCACCTTTGGCTCCTGAGCCTCCCTGCAGAGGTCACCATGCTGAAAGTAGTGGCCTGGGGTGAACTGGGCTCTGTGGGGAAGCAGGAAAGCCTCAGAGTTTGCACGCTGCCCGTCCTGTGCCTGGGCTTGCCTGCATGGCGCCTCACCCATTGGCCCAGCTGGCATCCAGGTGCAGGTTCCAAGGCCCTGCATCTCTTCAGGCTTTCAAGATTTGCCTCCCAATGACTAATCATTTCCACCAACTCCAGCAGCAAGCGGGCTCTGAACAGGCCTTTTTCTACCTGGAGAGATGTTTATTCCCCCCAGTTACATTTTCTTTCTGGTCTTCTTTGAGTGTTTGAGAGCACAGGCTGGAGAAGTCAGTGAACGAGTATCCATCCATCAGTTCTATTTTGGCATGTAGACTGATTCTCCTTCCATCTGGGCTTTCTCCAAAATGACTGCTCTGGGTCATATGTCACATCGAAGTGGGAAGAAAATACCTTCGGCAAGTGAAGTTTAGGGGGCTTGGAAACTTCTGTAGGGGCTCCAGGTCCATCCTGTCCCTGGCTGGTCAGCAGCTGGACCCAGGAGGAAATGGTACCAGACATCCAAATTGCTGGTTTGTATAAACTTAGAGATTTGTGCATTCACTTATCATCAAGTCAAGCCTAGTGAATACTCCTAGTTAGTATAGGCAGCTCATCTATGACCCCTCTACCAGGAGACACTTTAGGCACAACCTCAGCACCCTCCCTGTTATTCATGAAGTGAATAACCCATACACAGTGACGCAGGAGCTAAATTCAAAGGTCCCTCTGGGGTCCTTTTAGCCTGGTGGTTGGTGAAGCCCTTGGAAGTGCCAGTGAGAGAAATGCCCAGAGCTGCCTAGAGAACTTAGCCCAACCAGCCACCCTGAAGATCTGCTGAAGGCCAGCCCAGGGAACAGGACAAGCCAGACAATGTCCTGCTCTTGAAGAGCCTCCACTCTTAAGTCAGAAGGAAGGAAACAACTCCTGGAACAGTAAATAAAAACCAGAGACTAAGTCAGAGCCCCAGACCACTAGAGGCCAGCGCCATACCGTGGTCATCAGGAGTCCCTGGGCCAAATGTGAGGGGTGGATGTGGACATGGCAGGCGTGTTCCTGCGGATGTTTCTCAGAGGAAGTGAAATTGACAGTTGGAAAGGAGGACAGGGGAACCACTAACCCACATTTCCAGGTCTCCACTGCACTGTACCCTTTGTTGCCAAGGCAGCAGAGACTCTGGAGGTCTGCTAACAGCCAACAGTCCACTCTGAGGAGGGCAACTCCCTAGGCCCGCTGCCCAGGTAGGGCTAATTCTCCCCACTGGAACCAGGGGCGCGCAGATTTAAATCTGTGGGAAGCCATAGCTCTTATGGCTTTTACAAAAACAAACATCCTTTTCTCCCCCACTTTCAAGCAGTCCAGCCCACACTGACTGGTATCTGTGAGGCCAGAAGGGCCTGGGTCAGGCCAAGGTCAGGTCACTGGCCTGCTCATAGTGCCAGCGTACATGTTCTTCCCCAGGATAAAAGGTGTGGCACAAAATTCCCGAATCCCAGACCATCCACCAGAGAGACAACTAGTAATAAATTTGGCCATGTGTACACCAGGCCCTTGTTCTTGTGTTTTATTTGTTTCAGCCACTCCACTCTCACAATCCCCCACGTTAGAGGGGGCTAGTATTATAACTTTGCAGGCTAGGACATGGAGGCTTGGTGAGTTTAAGTCAGTTGCCAAGGTCCCATCTGGGAAGTGGCAGGGCTGAGGTGTGGATCCTTGAGGAGCCTAGATACACATACTCACCAGACACAAAGATGATCGAAACACAGGAGGAAACACAGTGAAGACTATCATAACATGGGCAGAGAGGCTCTCGTTGTTCCAGGCAGTCAGAGTTAGGTAGTCAAGTCAGCAATCCAGGCTTTACGGAAACTCCATCCTAGAGGTCACAGGGAGCAGATCAGTGTGCATGGGAAGGCCCAGCTAAGGTCTGTCCATCTGGTTATCAGTTCATAGGGATCCCTGAATTATTCCAGGTCGGGATAGAACTGCTGACATCCCATTTGATATATTCTCCATCATTAGGTTTCCCTGGTGGTTCAGACAGTAAAAAATCTGCCTGCAATGCAGGAGACCTGGGTTCAATCCCTGGGTCAGGAAGATCCCCTGGAAAAAGGCAAGGCAACCCACTCCAGTATTCTTTTTTTTTTTTTCCCCCTACTCCAGTATTCTTGCCTGGAGAATGCCATGTGCAGAGAAGCCCAGCATTCAACAGTCCATGGATCACAAAGAGTTGGACAAGACTGAGTGACTAACACTTTCACTTTTCACTTCCATCATTAGGAAAATTAGATGAATTTGTAAAATAGGTCCAAGTTTACTTAAGTTCTTCTACACAGCTGTGATTTATGTAGTTTGGAATATCTTTGGCAGGCGTGTTCCTGCGGATGTTTCTCAGAGGAAGTGAAATTGACAGTTGGAAAGGAGGACAGGGGAACCACTAACCCACATTTCCAGGTCTCCACTGCACTGTACCCTTTGTTGCCAAGGCAGCAGAGACTCTGGAGGTCTGCTAACAGCCAACAGTCCACTCTGAGGAGGGCAACTCCCTAGGCCCGCTGCCCAGGTAGGGCTAATTCTCCCCACTGGAACCAGGGGCGCGCAGATTTAAATCTGTGGGAAGCCATAGCTCTTATGGCTTTTACAAAAACAAACATCCTTTTCTCCCTCACTTTCAAGCAGTCCAGCCCACACTGACTGGTATCTGTGAGGCCAGAAGGGCCTGGGTCAGGCCAAGGTCAGGTCACTGGCCTGCTCATAGTGCCAGCGTACATGTTCTTCCCCAGGATAAAAGGTGTGGCACAAAATTCCCGAATCCCAGACCATCCACCAGAGAGACAACTAGTAATAAATTTGGCCATGTGTACACCAGGCCCTTGTTCTTGTGTTTTATTTGTTTCAGCCACTCCACTCTCACAATCCCCCACGTTAGAGGGGGCTAGTATTATAACTTTGCAGGCTAGGACATGGAGGCTTGGTGAGTTTAAGTCAGTTGCCAAGGTCCCATCTGGGAAGTGGCAGGGCTGAGGTGTGGATCCTTGAGGAGCCTAGATACACATACTCACCAGACACAAAGATGATCGAAACACAGGAGGAAACACAGTGAAGACTATCATAACATGGGCAGAGAGGCTCTCGTTGTTCCAGGCAGTCAGAGTTAGGTAGTCAAGTCAGCAATCCAGGCTTTACGGAAACTCCATCCTAGAGGTCACAGGGAGCAGATCAGTGTGCATGGGAAGGCCCAGCTAAGGTCTGTCCATCTGGTTATCAGTTCATAGGGATCCCTGAATTATTCCAGGTCGGGATAGAACTGCTGACATCCCATTTGATATATTCTCCATCATTAGGTTTCCCTGGTGGTTCAGACAGTAAAAAATCTGCCTGCAATGCAGGAGACCTGGGTTCAATCCCTGGGTCAGGAAGATCCCCTGGAAAAAGGCAAGGCAACCCACTCCAGTATTCTTTTTTTTTTTTTCCCCCTACTCCAGTATTCTTGCCTGGAGAATCCCATGTGCAGAGAAGCCCAGCATTCAACAGTCCATGGATCACAAAGAGTTGGACAAGACTGAGTGACTAACACTTTCACTTTTCACTTCCATCATTAGGAAAATTAGATGAATTTGTAAAATAGGTCCAAGTTTACTTAAGTTCTTCTACACAGCTGTGATTTATGTAGTTTGGAATATCTTCTAAGAAATAAGCTCTCTCAGGAAAGCACAGGTTTGTGTGAGAAGCAAGGAGTCAGAGTAGGATGCAAACACTGAAGTCTGTAAAAGTGAGGTATGGGAAAAGTAACTGGTAGGCTCTCAGGTCCATGCAGAGGCAGCCTGCAGCCGCTCATCTGACAGTCCCTGGGAACCACAGTCCAAAACCTCCAAGAAGTATCAACTCTCCCCCCTCCCCATCCTCAAGATCACTGTCCCAGGGCCTACTGAAGCAGCTTTCCATCTGGCTTCAGGCCAACCCTGACACACCGTCCACCTATCCCAGGTACACTTTCTGAGGTTCCCATCTCCCGGGACCAAACCTGGGCCTGAATCCCAGATGATTGCCACCGTGCCACCTGGATAAAGTCTTCAATCCCCAGCTAGCCTTTGAGAACCTCCTAACCAGCCCCATATCTCAGCATCCTTTAAAATCTCCGTCCTTCCATGACATTGCGCCTCTGAACACTCTTCGTTCATTAGCGTTTCCAACTCAAACATCCTTTAACACCACACTCGGCGTCCCCTCTCTGAAGCCAACTCCCACGAAGTCTGCCAAAAGCTGGGACATTGAAGTTACCCAAACGAGAGCTCCCACGCCCAGGTTCCGCGAGTCAGAAAGCGCCACCGACTCCAGGGCAGGGCACGGAGTGACGCCCCCACGGACCCGTCTTGTCCGTGTCCTTCCAATTCTGGTTAGGTGGGACGCTGCTACCAACTCTCGCCGCACAGCACCCGCCGGCCGCGTCGGCCTTGAAGGGCGCATGCGCCGGCGCCTGTATCCCCGCGATCTAACCTCAGGCTCGTGGACTAAAGTCTTCACAGGCCGGCGGGAGCGCGCGCACGCGTGGAGGTGGGGGGGGGGCGTGTGCAGAGAGGGGCACGGGAGCCGCGCATGCGCAGCGGCAGGCGGCGGCGCTAGCGGAGCCGGGAGATGGCGGCGGCGGCTTCTAGTCTGGACAGCGAGGTCGGACGTCCGGCCACACTTTGAACCCAGCTGGTCTGAGGGGGTGGCATGAGGGAGTGTGGTCGCGGGACGCGGCCCTCCCTTTGCAGCCGCCCTGCCTTAGTCTAAAGCATGATGCTGAGCGCAGGGTCAGTTCGGGCCTGCAGACCGTGACTTCGTCACGAACCCCAAATTCTCTTCACCCCCAATGCTGGGCTAAGGAGGGGCTTATGTAACCTCAGCCTGGTCCCTCCGCACTGGGGAGCAATGGGATGGAAAACGTCCTCCCTGTCTGCTGGTATCTGCCGTGTCCATTGTGTTGGGCCGAGGAAAGAGCACAATGGGAGTGGCTGTCAGGGAAGATAAGTGTCACTGTGAGGAGCAGAAAGATGTGGAAGTAGTTGAACCATGAACTTGGTCATGCGCTTTCCTCAGGCATTTAGTAGCTAAAATCTTTGGAGGAGGGGAACTGGACACCAAAAGGTACTTATTTAGGCTCAACAGTACTAACAGGGTCATGTGCTTTCACCATGGTTTAGTGAAACACTTTGGGGTGAAGCAAAGATGCTGTTGAATCATCTAGAACCAAATATGTTCTGTTGCCTCATGATTTAGAGTCCGGCCTCAAATCAGTGACATGTTTTAAACAGAACATATCTGATCAAATACTATGAAACCAGCTTTTTAAAATGCATATGACGGTCCTATAAACAATTAAGTGGCAGTAAGTGCAGTGGAAGGAAATGCCAATATATAATAAATCAGTCGACTGAAAACTCAGGAAAGCTAAGAGACAACAAGATAAAATGGAAGGCGTTATCTTCACAGCAGATAGACCTGGGGAGTAGCGAAGCTGGGGTGTGCCTCGGATCCATGTGAGTCTGCTGATAAATGTTGCCTTGGTTTTTCTGTGTGTCCCACAAACTGTAAGGGAGCATAATTTTTGCTTCTTCAGCTGCCCAACTGTGCCTCTCATGGGCTTATTTTCTCAGAAGTCATTTCTTAGACAATTAACGGTAATGATAAGCGCTCAGTAGCCTGAAACCTGCCGCAGACAAGCCAGTGTGTGACCATCCCTATTAGAGGGGGGATTTGCCCATTTTACATTAGCTTTTTCGGTAATGCAGTTGCAGAGCACACAGTTCTTAGCACTGCAAATACTGTCCATTTTGCTGCGTGTTGAGCTGCTCTTTGAGTTTTAGCTTGAGGGAGGCTCACTCAGGCTTTAGAGCACTCCCTCCAAGGGAAAACCTCTACAGCTGTGTGGAAAAACACCTTGTTACTGGGAGTTCTCTATGTGGGAAACTCGACGTTTCCCTTCTGGTAACCAAGCAGGCTACTCTGCTTATCGTTTATCTGATGTTGCAGAGCCAAACATATGAAAATTTGGAAAGACTTGGACAGCTCAAAGAGACAGGAAGAGGCTAGTGTCTATCCATATTCTTTTTCAGTATTTCCTTTATACCCTGTCTACATGTTCTACTACAGGGCAGACCCATGAACCTCTGTGGGGTAGGGAATCATGGGCTCCTGCTGGATTTAGCAGTCACATAATTTTGCTCTTGGCTGTAGGCAGTGGATACACATGGGCCTGTTTAGCTATGGTCCTACAGCTATCAAACTCAGAGGGTGAGCTGGCTATTTGTCACCAAAGCTGGGGATTGGAGGCCCTTAGGAGATGGGGTTTACTCTTCCAGCTGATATCCGCTTGTCTGGGCACCTCAGCCGAGCTGCACCTCCATGATATGTCTCTCCTTCAGCATCCGAATAGCTTCACTTCCTCTCACCCAGCGTCTCAGGTACCTAATGCCAAATTTAGCATGTTCTGTTCTGAGATGCTGCTGAACAGATTGGCCCATTGATGGAGAAAAAGCCCTGTGGCATGTGCTTCTGGGCATTTGGGAAAGAACATTGGCATAGTTTCAAGCCAGCTTGTGAATTTGGGGGAATTACATGGTGAATAGAGGTAGGTGGAGGGTCAGATAAGGGGAAGATCATTTTACTGACCCCAGAGGGGAATGGAACAGAGGTTCTGGGGGAGTGGACTCCTGGCTCTTTCCTGTTGCTGTATTACCCTTTGTCACCTCAGGCTGAATTAGTCTTTTCCTCCTCATACTGAACTGACTTGGGCCCTGCGAGGGGCCTGCTTCACCATTTGTGGCTGAAGAGCTCGGCTAGGTGCCGGCTTCTGTGAGTAGCAGTGCCGCCACACCCATAGTGCTGCCTCTTAACCTGTTTGGATGATATGGCACTTTGGGCATCAGAGAGTCTCTCAAGGCAGGGCTCTCTGCTTCTGGTCCCAGGGTCACATGCACAGTTACATAGGTTGTGCCTACCCTGAGGAGTGCCAGATCAGGGAAGGCTGAACTCTGTCTCAGGCTCCAAGTTCTATGCCTTGGTGTGGGCTGCATCTTCCTGCAGGAAGGGGCACCTTTCAGCTATTCATTCATTCAGTTCATTTTATGGCTGAATGCCTGATGTTCAGTGAAGGTCCTGAGTTGATGGGATTTTTACCTGTACACAAACCAGTTCAAGAGAAACTTTATCAGTTCTCCAGAAAGCACCTTAAAAAAATTTCTCAAAGAAGCCATGTAGACCAGTAGCGGCATGTTTAATTGACACCAGCTCTGTGGACTTGCAGAGCTTTGACATTTGCAAACTGATCTTTAGTCAATCAAGCAAGGTATATTTACCAGTATCAAGAGCAAGCCCTGTGCTGGGCTTTGTGGAGGATCTGGAAGGATATACAATGCTCCCCTGGCCTCTAGCATCTCACAGTCTGGTTGGTCAGAAAGCTCTTGAAGAGCTCTTGGAGAATATGGAAGGATCCTAGGAGTGACACTGTAGGCAGCTCAGTGTCTGAGGAGTATTCAAGTAGGTAATGCTTATAGAAGGGTTGTCAAGTGAGAAGAGTAGAGAGGCAGAACCAGGCTTCAAAAGAAGGAGAATCCCAAGTCTCCTTGGAAAAGTAAGGGAGGTGGTCCTGAGAGGTAGAGAGAGGAAGAAATGACATGAGGCATGCGGTCTACACAGGCAGAGACTGGAGCTGAGTGCAGGGTTGTGAAAAACTGCAGCAAGCCAGATAAGGCGCCTCCTTGTTACCCCATCAAAATCAGTGATCAGTGCTTAGCTGTCATTCACTTCCAGACCATATGCCAGGGAGACATCTTGAGCCCAGTGCAGCTGGGCACAGAGAGCCTGGGCATTTGTTGGAAGGTAGTCGAGGCTGCCCTGAGAACCATACCCAGAGTTCCTTTCTCAAGATAGGTTTGCCATAATTATATCTCAAAGATAAATTAATGAATGAATAACTAAGTTTGTCAGGCAAAGTATCTCTGGTCTGAGATTAGCCAGACTTGTTATACTATATCAGCTAACAGTCAGGCTCTAGAAAAATCTGGGATTAATTTGTAAGGCCAGAAAGAAAGGATACAGTTATTAGGTTTAGAAATAATGGGCCTTTGTCATTTAGAGATTATGTTAGGCCACTAGATTCTCATGCAGGACATGTCATGGAGTTTGTGCTAAAGTGACCCTAATATCTGGATGGTGATGATGTCAAAAACTCACCCTAAGAGGGAAGGCATTTTTACATTTCTTGCCTGGGAGAGAGGGGCAGTTCTGATACTATAGCTGTTTGTAGCATTGGTAAGCGGAGAACACAATGGCACCCCACTCCAGTACTCTTGCCTGGAAAATCCCATGGACAGAGGAGCCTGGTAGGCTGCAGTCCATGGGATCGCTAAGAGTCGGACATGACTGAGTGACTTCACTTTCACTTTTCACTTTCATGCATTGGAGAAGGAAATGGCAACCCACTCCAGTGTTCTTGCCTGGAGAATCCCAGGGATGGGGGAGCCTGGTGGGCT